GCAGGGTCAGTCAGTCCTGTGTGGTCACATTGTCCTCTGCAGGGTCAGTCAGTCAGTCCTGTGTGGTCACATTGTCCTCTGCAGCAGGGTCAGTACTCCTCAGCCTCACATCTTTGGACTTGTGTGTTCACAGACAGCGACTCCAGGAAGAGCATTCTTCCGAGGAGAGTGAGCAAAGAGCTCTTCTGCTAAAGAGGTGGGCACTCTACAAGCAGCAGGAACACGAGGCAGAGAGGGAAGCCATCAGAGCCATGCTGGAAGCCCAGCAGGAAGCACTTCAGGAACTGAAGCTGGAGTCTCCAGAGCTCTACGCTGAGGCCATAAAGCGGGACCCCAGCCTGTTCCCCTTTGAGAAAGAAGGGCCACATCACACGCCACCAGTCTCTGACTACCAGGCCCCTGAAGGCAGGTACAATGACATCACCAAGGTGTACACACAAATAGAATTCAAAAGATAGAACTGAAACTGCTGTCCTCAGAAGATGCTGGCCCCGGGAGTCGGAGCAGTGAGCTGCAGTCTGTTTTCCACAGATGATACATCCTCAGAACAAATAAAATGTAATCACAAGCACCTCTGCCCTTTATTTCGGTCTAAATAATTCACCTAGGTTGGGTGGGGTTTTCAGACCGCTGGGAAGACAATGAAAGACAACACTGACCCTCCAGTGGGGAAAACGTGACTTAAAAATAAAAAGTTTAGTTGCGTTCTGAACTACTTACAGAAGACACAAAATAATCCAGAGGACCAGAGGTGAAACTTATGCCGGGTTTTGCCAGTTGGGCAGATGTGCCAGAAGCTGGATCTTGCTGTGGGATAGCTGCAGAGTTTCTGGGTTTTAAGGTCAGGAGGTGGCCTTTAGAGAGTGGAACAAGCTAGGAACATGTTAGCGACAGCTGCTCTGGCCTCCAGAAGAGGGTGAGACCCGGCTGAGACTATTGCAGTTACTATGATTCTTCTGAAATGATTCCTGTAATCCCAGCACTGGGAAGACAGAAGCAGAAAGAAGTTTAAGGCTAGCCTAAAGGAACAGTGTGAGACCCTGTCTCCTAAACAAAACCAAAACTTGGAACTAGTGAATGTAGTACTTTGTTCCAGCTGCCGTAACAAAATACCATAGCATGGGCAGCTCACACAATGGAAACATTTTCTAGAACTCCCCACACTGAGGTCTTAGTATGCTTGACCTCTCCTGTGGCCGCCCCTTTGGTTTGCTGGTGGCCTCCTTGTCTTCACAGATGTTTTTCAGTCGTTGTTTATCAGATTAGGAAGGCACTATGCATGCTGCCATGCAGCAAATGTAATCGTCTCATTTTAGCCTGATTACCTCCCTAAACCCCCTGCTCCCACATCCTGAGGTGCCAGGGGCAAAGGCTTCAACGTGAAATTTAGTGAGAAGGTTTTGGCCAGTAGTACAAGCCCAGTAGCAGTGGAGCAGTGCCATTTTCCCTAGTGACTCTCAGTGCCACTGCAGAAAGGCTTTGGCTTTTAATGAGACAGGAACTTGTGTTTGAATATGAATTTAGATTATTGAGGGCTGGCGATACAACTTCGTGGTGGTTTGTCTAGCACGTGTGAGGGTCTGGCTTTGACTCCAGCATCACATACCAGAAAAGTTTCTTTTTGTTTATTGTGGCAAAAGACAAAATTTACTCTCTTGACCAGTTCCTGCAGATTCAGTGGTATATTTGTGTGTTTATAGTGTATAATCTACTGAGTATATTTATAATGTTCTCTGTGTATTTCCAGGACTTTGCATTATGAAACAGAAAATTATACCTATTAAAGAACTCCCACCACTATGGCACATGACTGTAGTTCCAGCTGCTTGGGAGATGGAGGCAAAGGGATCTCAAATTTGGGCCTAACCAGGGCTGTATCACAAAACTTACCCATTCCTCTATTCTCCCAGCCTAACCCCGCCCATTCTTTCTGTCATATCAGACGACTCATGTGCTTCACATAAGTGAAATCAGCGTTGATCTCTGCCTAGCCTGATTTCTCTAAGCATATTCCCTCTGTTTTTTAATTTTTTAAAAGACTACCCAAAGTGGGCTCAACTGATCCTCCTGCCTCAGCCTCCCAAGTAACTGCTTCCTTGGGTGTGCTACCACACACACACTGCTGGTTTTTCTTTCCCTTCTCGGGTAGTGTGGGGTTCAGACCAAGTCTCACTGTTGTAACTCGGCTGGCCTGATCCCTCCTCACTTGTTTCGTTTTCTGTAGGGTGATGAGTTGGATGAATAAAGCATATTTTGTTTATCCATTCATCTTGTTGCTTCTGAGGTTTAGCTGTCAGGAACGCCGCTGCTCCGGTCACAGGTGGACAGAGCTCTTCCAGACCTTCCTTTAAATTCCCTTTGGAGGGAGAAGTGCTGGAGAGGAAAGCAATGGCTTTGGCGGAGCTGTGGTGGTGCGCGCCTTCAGTCCCAGTGCTGGGGAGGCAGGGGCAGGCGGGTGGATCTCTGAGTTCAAGACCAGTCTACAGCAAGATCCAGGACAGAGAAATCCCATCTCCAAAAACAAAAATGAGGGGAGGGGAAATGATGACTTTGAACATGCCAAGAAAGTGTTCTACCGCCTAACTATGCCTCCAGCCCTCCTGCTCTAATTTTTATGAGTTTATCCCCAGAAAGGAAATTGCTGTTTGTATGATAATTCCATTCATTTTGCTTTTTTTTTTTTTTTTTTCTTTTTGGTTTTTTGAGACAGGGTTTTCCTGTGTAGCTTTGCGCCTTTCCTGGAACTCACTTGGTAGCCCAGGCTGGCCTCGAACTCACAGAGATCCACCTGCCTCTGCCTCCCGAGTGCTGGGATTAAAGGTGTGCGCCACCACCGCCCAGCCATTGGAGGTTTTTGCTCTTCTAGGGGGCCAGCCACCCAGCTCCCAAATAAATCACACACAGAGTCGTATTATAACTTATGAATGCCCAGCCTTAGTTTGGCTTAGTTTCTATCCAGCTTTTCTATATTTTAGATTATTCCGTCTACCTTTGCCTCTGGGCTTTTTCTTTTCTATTCCTAAATACCTCTCTTTGTTTCTTACTCTATGGCTTGCTCTATAGCTGGGTGGCTGGGTGGCTGGGTGGCTGGGTGGCTAGCCTCTGGAGTCCTTCTCCTTCTCTGGCTCCTTCTACATTTCTCCTCCCAGATTTCTCCCTCTATATATCCTCTCTGCCTGCCAGCCCCACCTATCCTTTCTCCTGCCTCACTATTGGCTGTTCAGTTCTTTATTAGACCATCAGATGTTTTACACAGGCACAGTAACACAGCTTCACAGAGTTAAACAAATGCAACATAAACAAAAGTAACACACCTTAAGTTATTCTACTACAGGTAATAACTTTCAGCACTGGTATGAAGTGGTCTTGTGGTTTTGAACTGTATTTCCTAATGGCTACTGGTGTGTTTAGCAAATGTTTTCTCCCATTCTATGGGTTGCATTTTTACTATCAATAGCCTTTTTTTTTTTAATGAATATGGTGTTTTCCCTTCATGCATGTTTGTGCATCACTACATTCATGCCTAGTGCCTACATCCATAACTCCTCTGGAACTGGAGTTACAGGTGGCTGTGAGCCACTAGTGGATGCTGGGACTGGAACCCAGATACCTACAAAGACAAGTGCTCTTAACCACTGATCTATCTTTCCAGGATTAATAATCTTTTGATGTAAGAAAATTTAAATTTACATGAAATTCAGTTTATCTTTTTCTTTTTCAACATCAGTGACTATGGTTAGATTTTGGTTTGTTTGGGGTTTTATTGTTTTTTGTTTTTTGTTTTTTTATTTTGGTTTGGTTTGGGTCTGGGTGTTTGGTTGGTAGGTTGGTTGGTTTGGTTTGATTTATTTTGGGGACAGGGACTTACTCTAGCCCAAATTGGCCTGAATCTTGTTACATAACCTAGGCCAGCCCCAAACTACCATCAATCGTCCTGCCTCGCTGGGGAGGTAGGATCACAGGTATGAGCCACTGTGCTCAGCTAATGTGACTGTTATTACACAGCATATATAACATGGCCAGGCTGGGAGAGAAACTCAGCAGAAAAAGCACACGCCCCCTAAGAGTGAGGGCTGGAGTTTGGATCCCCAACAGCTCGGGGGAAAAACAGATGTCTGTAGTCCCAGCAAAGAGAAGGTGGAGACACAGAATCCCCAGAGCAAGCTGGCCAGCCATACTAGCCAAAATGGCAATTGGCCAATTACACAGGAGGCCTGGCCTCATATATAAGGTGGAAAGAGATTAAGAAAGATGCCTGCTGTCAACCATGAACCTTCACACACATGTGGACAAGTGTGGATGCATGTATATACAAATAAACAAAAAACTATAAAGTAAAAATATATATACTAAAATATATAGTAATTATTGCCTCTGTGTACAGTTTCAGGTTTTACATTTAGTTCTTCAATCCATTTTGAATTTATGTTTTTCTTTCTTCAGTTTAAGTAACATTGTATGTTATGGCTAAAGGAACTCCCATTTATACAAGGCATACATCTTGCTACTCACCAACCATTTGTCTCTGACTCCAGTGCCTACAAGATAAGTTCCCAGTAACCCTGACTCTGTGACCTTACCCAGAAATGTACAGCTGTGACTATCTGCTTGTTATGATAGGACTAACTGCTTTTTGGCTTCTGTAACTTGCTTTTGAAGACACCCAAAGATTGTTTTGAGGTGCCTTAGCCACTTCTCTTGGCAGACCAGTTTTTTGCTTCCTTGCATAGATATTGAAGATCTTCATGAGGTTTTCCCCTTTAAAAGTCCTTTTCCATTCAGCACTTGGGAGGCAGAGGCAGGTGATCTCTGAGTTCGAGGCCAGCCTGGTCTACAGAGTGAGTTCCAGGACAGCCAGGGCTACCCAGGGAAACCCTGTCTCAAAAAAGAAGAAGGAGATTATTTAGCCAGGCAGGCCTGATGGTACACGCCTTTAATCCCAGCACTCAGGAGGCAGAGGCAGAGGCAGATAGATCTCTGAGTTCAAGGCCGGCCTGGTCTGCAGAGTTGAGTTCCAGGACAACCAGGGCTACACAGAAAAACCC